TTCTGTAGTCAATAACATGCATGCATTCCCATTTTAAAATAGTATCTTCATCTGCAAATGACTTCGAGGACGAAGGTCATGCTCTCATCCTATGCTATCATCTTATTTCTCCGTCGAAAGTAATCTGAAGCTTTTTCAATGACACCCTATATAGATGTACGTATACAATGTAGATAGACGTGCCATCTTGAAAGTATCATTTAAAAAATAACATTGCATTGCCGAGGTGCCCTAAGCGAAATGTTGTTGACTTAACACTAACAACATAAAGCAGAACAATTTAAAATTCAATTAAAAATTTAGGGGCGAAAGAGAACCGTATCACATCGTAACATAAGACTGAAGAAAAAATAAAAAATAACAGCTGCCAAATTTCAATTCAAAATTTCGATTAAACCGAGCGTAATTAACACTAACTAAATGTTCAATAATTATTACAGAGCAGTCTTATTGTTTTTTAAATAACATTAATAAACGGCTAAAATAATAATAATTATCATTGTAATTTAATTACGGTCAACATCATTAAAGACAGTACAACTGTAGGGATAGATATCGAGGGGCAAAAGATTAGTATGATATAGCAGTGTTAACATCTAGCAAGGAGTTAGAGATAGCTTTAAATAAAATGAAAGTGGCATTGTCAAAATAGTATTGTATGAAAATAAATAAAAGTAAAACTAAAATACTGGTATGCAAGGGAAGAAAAAGTAGGGAAAGAGTTAATATAAAGATAGAAGACGAAAGATTAGAAAAAGTGGCTGATTTTAGGTATCTAAGAAGTCAGGACGGAAGGAGTAGTAGGGATATAAAGCAGAGGATAGCGCAGGGTCGAGTCACTTCTATGCTCACGAACTATTAATTTAGAAATTCGAAAATGATTGTTGAAGGTGTATGTTTGGAGCGTGGCGCTGTACGGGTGCGAAACATGGACGGTGGACGCGGCGAAAAAGAAAAGGTTAGAAGCATTCATAATATGATGTTACAGGCGAATGATGAGGATACTTTGAACAGTGAAGGTTAGAAATGAAGAGGTTTTAGAAAGAGTAAGAGAACAGAGGATTGATTCTATGGAAGGCAGTAAAAAATAGGCGAGATAGGTTGGTAGATCACCTTCTCAGGCATGAAACATATTGGAGACAGAAACAGGAGTTAAGAGGAGTAGTAAATAGTTAAGAATGTGAGATGTTCTAGTTTTATGGAAATGCGAAGATTAGCTCAGGATAGGAAAGAGTGGAGATGATGATGAATTCAATTACACAGCTTCAATTTTGTCTTTTTTATGTATGTGTATGTATCAATACGAAGCAGCGCAAAAAGACCTGTAATAGTTCATTTATTGTTAAATATGAATACATTCTTCCTTCACTATTATCATATGAAACGGTTGCAAACACAGTGAAGTTACGACGATAGTTTCGTTTATGCTGTCAGACGACGGAGATGAATGGCATATTGAAAAGTTTATAACAGAACCTTCATTTATCACATGTCATCCGCATTTAGATACACACTTGCTTGTGCATACATATGCAACACGTCACAAAGCCTTCTTTATCACTGGTGCTGTTTGTCTACTTTTTTTGTTTTGTTTTGTTTGTTGAAAATCGCAGTAATTATTTTTGAATGATATGAAAGAGATCTAGAAAAGGTCACACGTACATAAAATGCACAATGCGTTTCCAATGAGAACATTTTGCATTAATTATTCTGAGCAAAAGCTGGAAATGACCGAAATATAATGTCGGTAACTTATAACGGTATCGACACTTTGTAGTTCCAAAGAAAAGTTATTAAACAACGGAAATATTAAAAGAAAAAAATTTCGCGTTAAAAATGCCTATATTAGGAAGTGGGCAAAACAATGTCCGCAATAATCAATTTATAGTGGTAATTTGGGTGTCTTTTCTCTATTTTTTAATTAACAAATATTTTACCCTAGTTATCGTTTCCGACGTTGTTAGATTGAAAAATTCTGCCGTCCACTTTGGAAATTTTAATACAACCAAAAAAAGAAAGTGTCTAGGTAGTTTGCCACTAATGGTTATTTAACAAAAAAATTTTATTCTACCGTAAGTTATTAGTAGGTATCAAAAGAAAAAACTTATCTGCTGCAATGTTGGAAATTGTTACTTATTGTCCATATAAATTAGCCGGAAAATACCTAACTACTTTTTAGAAAAATTTCGACTAGACCCGATTTTCAGGTAAATTTGCAAAAAATTATCTTAGTAAATTTTTGCCATCGCTCAAAAGTTTGTGAAATTAAGGAAGTTTCGACGTTTTTTCGTTTTTAATCTATAAGTGTTTTTCTATTGATTTTAGCAACAAAAGTTGAATGAAAATGTTATTTAGAATCATTTTTTTCTATGTGTGAGTAGGTCCAATTTTTCAAAATGATAGATTTTCTTCAATAAATGAAAAAAGATAATTTTAATAGTTGGATATGATAGAATAACACTTCCTACGTATTCTCCATTAGCACAAATCATAACGAACCCATAATTAGATTTTGGTTACATTATGAAATTTGTATTTTTTTTTATTCACAAATTAATTATCGGTCACCTACTTATTCGATCGGATTAATAATAAAATCTGCTTCTTCAGCTGGATTTCTATCTTAAAAGTGGACACAAAAGTAATCGCGTTTTCTCGATAAATCTTCACTCATTGAAGAAAGTTTACCGGATAACGACGCCGGGTACAAATCAGTGCCGTGTAATTCTACCAAAAGAAATAGAAAAAGCCAATACGAGCAATAATTTAATAAGTATAACAAAAAATCTACCTAATGGAAATTAGTAATTAAGATTGTGTTACGATAGGTCGTTTGTCCTAATTTGAATTGGGACGTTTGCGTTGGTAATATTTAATGAAAAGCTTGCTAGAGCGAAGACATGAACCATTCACTGCAAAATAACTATTTTATTTAGCTTTTGCCTATTATTTTTGTTTAGTAGCGGTTATTGTGGACAACTTGTTTCACAACACTCTGGTCTATTTTTCGAAATTAATTTTATAATTTTCTTTTGTTTCAATGAAAATACGAAAATGAACTTTTATTATATCATTGTTTCTTGTCGTACCTACAGTGGCGAAACAAAATTCTGAACATTATTTTTTAAAAAATTACACTTATTTAAAGTTCATTATTTAAGATATGACGTAAATAGTGTCACTGAGATTAATATCTTTTTGAAATATTAACAAACAACCACTTAAGCGTACTGCAATAACACGGTTCCAACGACTGTTACCGAAGTTATGGTACAATAGAGCTTTTAGTGTTGATTTGTTGCTATAGGCTAATAACTTGCGATAAAATAACACTTTTTCTTAAATTATTCCTAGCCACAGAATTCTTTTACAGTACCTGCGTATCAACTAGCGTTTTCTATAAAATAAAAATTAATTCATAATTTTAATTTAGTTAAAATTAAGTTTTTGATTATTCATTTGATCTTTTGTTGTGGACTTGGTTCGCATTATACGGCTATTTTCGATCNTTATTGCATTAAGATTGATTGCAGACAGCTGCGAATCTTACACTTAACAATTAATTTCTCATATTAATTCTATTAAAACGTTTAAGTAAAATTCATATTGTTTAACTAATTCATTTTTGAAATCGTTAATAGCTTTTCTTCTTCCTCTAATTCATATTGTTTTCGGTGATTATACTAAATATCTATTAAATCTAGTGACTTTTATTACGCGTAACACATTAAGTTAGTAGTATTTTAATATTTATTACTTATTGTTTGTCTCAATTTTATTTTCTGATCTTATTATTTATTAATAGCCTTTAGCCTTGCGAAACCTAAGCATTGAAACGAAAGAAAGTTTTTAATTTCAATTACTTGCATGAGCGTACCTAACCCAAATTGTTTTTATTTCTAGTTTTATATTATTCTTTCACAAATGAAAATGTTTTGTTTTTTGTGTGGAATTTTTCTGTTTATGATGTTAGATTTTATATACTACATTGTCTTTTGTGTTTTATATATTTTTTTATAAAATATAACGCCGATATTTGTATCAAGCTTTTGGAAAAGCGGATCAATCCGAAATGCTGCTATTCAATCGTTTTCGCTAGTAGTCGCGAGATGGCAAACGTTATGACGCTTTTGCGCACAGTGTATCTTGCAACGAGTTGCTAACTTATTGAACGTTCAATAAATAAATATTTGGAACTAAAGTCTTTTTATTGTTCGTTTTATATAAAGCCGTAACTACAACCTATAATAAAGAAACTACTTTCAGGCATGAGGCAGGCGTCATAATTTTAATTAAAATACACATAAAACAATCTACAGGTGCCATAATACGACTGGTTAAAAGCAATCGTGTTGTTGCAGATCGATATACTTATGCTACTGTACTGTTATATTTTCTACACAACGACAAGTATTAATTAAATGGATTGGGTGAGGGATCTGATTCACCTATTAGTTAGTTTTCAGCGAGCACATTAAAAAATAATTACGTTTTTTATTTGGTTCGATTAAGTGGCGCGCGAGATATTGTTCTTAAGCTGACGTAGCTGAAGATTGTTGTCGTGGTGGTGGTACGCTCACTGGTCGACGAAGATGCGAAGATTATGAAGAAGTAAGGCCCCGTCATGGTCATGTCCCGAACCAGCAGTATTACGAAAACGTACTGCTGTGACAGGACAATATCATGATGGGACCCGAAAAAGATGGAGTTCGTTGTGACCAATATTGTATTTACAATAAGAAAAAAACGAGACGTGATAGTGAAAAGTCGTTTTTCGCGGACGTACGGCAGGCACGAGCTTACTGACTGTTCGAGGGGATGATGCAGGTCTTCGCCACCGCGATTCGCCGCCATGGCAACCGTGTGCGCCGCCGTCAACCGACCGCACCCCACATCACTGATGCATATTCGCGCGCACATACAAACACATATACACGTACACGTGCAACCAAAGGGGAGGTTTCGCCCAGATCGATATGAAACGAAGCAAGCTATCTTACCTTGCGCTGCAACGGGTTTAACAGTTCGTCATACCGCTCCCACCAGCGATATTTGCGCTTGATGCTGAAACAAAAAAGATAGGAAGCGTCAAAAATGTGTGCCTGCCATTAAGACGACAACGATGATTAGAGTAATGATAGAGAAGGGGGGGAACGAGTAGGAGTGGGGGAACCTTAATGTTGTCCACCTTTATGTGAAGAAGATGTCATCAAGGACTTTGATATCTTTAGAAAGAGTGAATCCCCTTCCGTTTGAGATGTTTCCTACAGCGCTAGGTACAACTTTCATTTGCCAGAAGAATAAATGTCCTACGTTTTATATTATAAAATAAAATCCAAAACTGATTTTGAAATTTTCTACGTTTTGTTTTGTTAATTTTGTAATTACCGAATTGCAAGATATGCGTTCTTACTGCTCTTTATGGCGCTTTGTTTCAATGAACCAGTCAGAGAAAAAATGATAGGGAAAGGAAGGGAAGACTTATTAATGTTACGTTATAATTTGTAATAAACATAACTTTTTGGGAAGATATATATACATTGTAACATTTAAGTAAGATGTAACGGATTATCACAAAATAACAGCTGAATTTATCTTATATTTAAGTACGCAATAATTTAATGTAAAATCTGATATATGTACAAGGGAACGCAACGAAAACTAAAACACTTTGTGAGGGAAGAAGACGAAATATGTGTTCATCTAAATGTCATTCACACAGATTAATACAAGGATTGGTGTTTCATTTTTCGTTACGCTCTCCTAAGAAGTAGCAATAATTAAATAAAGAGGGAAATTATGCATGGAGTTAATTATAAGGGAAAAAACAAAAAACTTACAACTCATAATCGGCTCGCCGTATGGTATTTTGTACAAAGTACGTAGCCATGCATATGTCAAAAACCATGATAAATACGATCGGTAATGTCTGAAACATAAGAAATTTTAAGTTGTATTTTGTTTTGCAGCACTTCGATGACAGATAGCAATGGGCTTTTAGATCCCGATTTGCCCCACACTTTAGTGCCAGTTAATGGAAATCATTCCAATTCATCTGGGAGAAGTACTCCCAATAATAGCAACGATCCAGCACCAGGAAAGCTCTTCGTAGGAGGACTGAGTTGGCAGACATCATGTGAAAAATTGCGAGAATATTTTGGAATGTTTGGAAACGTAACAGATGTTTTGATTATGAAAGATCCTATTACTCAGGTAATAAATACATGCATTTCAATTGACCTGTTGATAACTAATTAAATATTTATTTAACAGAGAAGCAGAGGATTTGGTTTCATAACGTTCTCTGAACCGTCTAGTGTAGAAAACGTATTAAAAGTCCCTATTCACACTTTGGATGGTAAAAAGATCGATCCCAAACATGCAACGCCTAAAAATCGCCCAAAACAGCCCAACAAAACCAAGAAAATTTTTGTAGGGGGTGTCAGTCAAGATACATCGGCCGACGAAGTGAAAGCTTATTTCAGTCAATTTGGGAAAGTAGAAGAGACCGTTATGCTAATGGATCAACAGACCAAAAGGCACCGTGGTTTTGGTTTTGTTACATTTGAAAACGAAGACGTGGTCGATCGCGTGTGCGACATCCACTTCCACACCATAAAAAATAAAAAAGTAGAATGCAAAAAAGCTCAACCAAAAGAAGCAGTACAAGCCAATGCTCAATTATTAGGTAAACGTTTGATGATCGGGGGTCTAGGCATGCGCATGGCCGCACCAGGAGCCGGTCCCATTGCGGCTGCTAACCCACTCGCAATGGTCCAAGCGCAGGCTCAGGTTCAGGCCGCAGCCGCGGCAGCTGCGGCCGCTCAAGCTCAAACAGCGGCAGTAGCCAACTATGGTAAATTATTCGGGGCATATCCGCCTCTAGCCAGTTATCGTTACACTCCGTATCCGATATCTGCCGTTACTGCAGGAGTAACAGCTGCGGCCGCAGGCGGTACGACCGCGCCCGCGCCTGCTGCAGCCGCACCGGCTATAGCTGCTGCTCAGGTGACACCCAGTCCTTACCAGGGCTACAATTTGACCAATGTTGACATGTCGAGCTTCCAAGGAGTCGATTGGGGATCGATGTATGGAATGGGCATGTATGTGTGAGAGATACGAAAGTTGTTCTGCCCCTGGCGACGACGCCTTGTGCCTACTAAATTGACTGTATTTTTGAGGTTAAAATTTAGATTACTACACGTTACGATGATGATGATAACGACGACTTTATTATTAATTGGAGGAATCAGTGTTGATGATGTACCGACAACGTCGTTCCTGTCAGAAATGGTGATGATAAGCTTCTGTTCGTTTAGCATTTAGCAATAACTCGCAATAAACAGTATTACTCACGTTCTATTAATTAAACGAATGCTCTTGTTCTCTATCGATAATATACATTTCAAATAAATTATTTGCAATAATTTATTATTGTACTCCTAGATATTACGAGTCAGTATTTTTCGGAAGCGGAATGTGATTATTGGTTTAGACTTAATTTTCATTATTTAATTAATTAAATGTAAAACTATTTCAGTGATGTACTTAAAAGACTTGTACTTAATGTTTAAGCCTAGTATTGTTAATACTGGTTTATTCTTATTATTATTATTATTATTAACATATTTAGGTATCGTCTTATGCTTAGTTCAATCAACTTTTTGACGAATGTCGAATACCTACCGTGCATTCACGTAATATTTGAAAAGCACCTTAACTGATTTCTAATGTTCGCTTCCATAATTTTGTAGTTATAAAGGAAACTCGTTTGTCGCAAAATTATTGACAATTTTATTATTTTCTTTATATTTTTCAGGTATTCGTTAAATGTTTAAGTTATAATTAATTGATTATTACTTATCTGATCAACAGATCTTAACATACATTCGTCAAGAAGTGGACTGGTCCTATAGTTTTAATCGCTACTTTTTGTTAGGATCTCATTTGCAGCTAGTTTAAGGTCTTTCTACTATTTATTAAACGCAGGAGCGCCACAGCTTGCCAAGACAACACATTAACCGACAGATTTGACAATTATGTACGAGAGAGAGAGAAAGAGAGATCTAGTCGAGTGATCTTTTGTTTTTTTCCATCTGTAACACCTTAGGTGTAGAGTGCTTTCTACATTCCATAGAATAATGATAAAATGTGTCGATATCTAACCACTGTTTTGAGGACCAATCTTACGGTGAAAATGAATAGTTGCTGACTTATTTTGCTGTCTTGACTATTTTTTGACCCTTCTGCTTATAAAATAGACTTTTTAGTTGTTAGATTTAGTTCGTTTGTTTTTCTCAGTACTCTGTTGTACACGCTGCTGTTTGGCTGAACTTTAAATCCGCAGTTTACCAAACACTACTGTTGACTATTGTTCCTGTTTTGCAGCTCTTTTTAAACGATAAATGAAAATTATTGTTCAGAACTGTAATTTCTAGGGCCCAGTCGTCGTGTCTCTTGTGATAATTTATAGAGATACCGACTAGCTAATGACCAGACATCGAATATAAAATCCAAAGTAAAAAAAGCCAGCTATTAATTTCTCATGTAAACTGTTCTCATGCTTTTGTTTTCTACGGTTGGTGATTATATCTACATAAATAATAAAGTCAGTAAGTTTGAATTCATTTTTTTGGTCTGGTTATGGTATATTTGAAAATATTTTCAAAATTTAAAGGACAAGTAATGACCGAGTAAGTGGAAAGAGCCTTTCGTAAATAATTGGTAAGTTTAATTTATTGTCTTGTTGAAAAAGAATATTAGTTTTCATTTTTTTTTATTTCATACTTTCAGAATAAAATCGATCTTTCAAAATACACCGAAACGTAATTATGACAGTTAAGCATGCTCACACATTTCAGTTATTCTGAAGTTACTATAGAAAATAGTGGACTTTTTTGTCTGTTTTGAACTTTATAAATTTTTAATCACGTTTTTAGTTTCTTTGTTTTGATCACAATAACTAAACAGTTACTATATGTAATTAATAACCAATCTATTAATTACTACAGTTGCCTTTCAGTTATTTTTGAATATACATGAACATTAAAACAATACAGTTGAACACAATTCGATTTGTATGTTTCGTTGTGCCAAACAATGTGTTTGAAAGATGTCTGGTCTGTAATACTTTCTCTTATTCTTGCCCATCGACAGCAATAACAAAACGTGACATAATATTCGTCTATTTTTGTATATTTCGTCATGTTAATACTGACGTGATGGATTCGAGAGAAAGAGACGCAAAGTGTTGTCCTTATGACGAAACACATCACGTATGTCTGTCTGTATGTTGTATACATGTTGTAAATAGCCAACCAAAAGATGGCTGTTAGCTAGAGAGTAGAGAGTTAAGATGATGACGGCTACATATTAAGTAGACATCCGTGTTTTAGCTGTTCACTGTATGTATTAACTCAGAATCTAGTTAACATAAGACTCTTTAAACGATAGTTCTAGTTTCTACTGTTCGTAGTTAGTAAGTATGTATTTGTTCGTAGTGTAGATGAGGCACTGTAGTAGAGAGCTGTTTTGAATAAAGTAGTAGAATATGTAGAGCGCTTGGTCATTCCTGTGCCGATCGGGTCTTTTCCGAAATCCCTTATTATTTATCTTTGCAAATCCTGCAGTTCCTGTTACACTCTTTTTCTCTCCCTACTCACATATCCAAGGGTCCGATCTGCATATTCGCTATTAACCTAGTCTAGTCGTATCACTGCTTCTCTGTGATATAATAATTCTGGTCACTCGTTGGGGGTCACGGCCATGTCATCACAAAACCTTATCCAATGACCTAATCGTCCAACGACAATTGCAAATCCTCTACTTAAAAAATAAAGTTGGTTTTAGAATTGGGTATTTGGCTGAATTTTTCTTATTTCTTAAATTGATTCGTTTGTATATCTTGAAAAATAACGAAAACAGGACAAAAACACCCAAAAGATCGTGAGCAAAAGAAACAGTATTTTTAAACAGGTGTCAAAAATTTCTTAAAAGACGTCTTCATTTGTGTCATTTTTTTTTTCACGTGTTTTACTGTCAAATACCCTNAGTTGGTTTTAGAATTGGGTATTTGGCTGAATTTTTCTTATTTCTTAAATTGATTCGTTAGAACATTAGAAACGAGGTTTGTATATCTTGAAAAATAACGAAAACAGGACAAAAACACCCAAAAGATCGTGAGCAAAAGAAACAGTATTTTTAAACAGGTGTCAAAAATTTCTTAAAAGACGTCTTCATTTGTGTCATTTTTTTTTTCACGTGTTTTACTGTCAAATACCCTATTCTCTGATTTGATTCGATAATCATTACAACCAAATCCTAATACATACGCCCCTTACATTATTTACCGCATAAGCCTTTAAAAAATTAACTTACTCGTAAATAATACAATAATAATCCTAACATTCTTTGAAAACATAAAACATCATACATCGTTACTCTTAACATAATAACTCTTCTTATGCCTTCAATTCACTATACTTAAAATAGAATTTTACATTTTGATTTTAACACAACTTCACTTTTTCTTTTAAGGAGAACTAAAGCAATAAAGATTTTTACTTTGTTCCAGAAGTTCGTAAAAGGCGCTACTCTTTTAATGAAGTATCTACTGATTTAGGGGTGATTTAATTTTGTTTTTTCTTTTTTAAGCTTTCAAAAGAACTCCATTTTCAAAGCTTTCATTAGTTACTGACAAATAACAAGGAAGAAAATAGACAATACAAAAAATGCAGAAAAGTTAATATCTAGAAATGGGCATTCCCACACACATACATAGTTGAAAATGAGTCGTTGGACGATATGTTGATGCGACCTGAATCACTGCACGGTCTGTGTATTTTAGATGTTTCCGTGCCTTATTTTAATTGCCCCAAAAAAAGGGGTTTTGACAATACCCATGCCCGCAGGGCTCGAATCATGTACTGTAGAACTAGACTGGCCTGTTAATGTGTATGTTTTAGTCTCTTTTTTTAATAGAATCTTCGATTCACTGCTCATCTGTTGCCCTTCAAAGTACCACTATTATTTAACAATGAAACGGGTGCCTCCACCTAATATGGTTCACGAAAAATAACTAAGTCAATAAAATTACTCATAATGGTTATCAATGTGGACCAACCAATTTATCTACTCTGTATTGAATTAAAGGCGGAACGGCGACTATCATTAAAAGTAAAGTTTCAAATGCGAAATAGGAGATAGTTTGGCGAAAAAAGTTCATGTTAGTTAACATTTGTATTATGTTCTAAAATTTAGAATATACTACGGATTCGTTACGATAAAATCATTCGGAAAAGAAAAATTCGAGTTCATTGTTCATTTATTTTCTCATAATATAAAAAGATGATATAATTCCTTGGACAAAATGACTGATTTAAATTTAAAAAGTATTCCTTGCAAATTACAGGAAAACTCATTTCTTGTGTCCAAAAATATATTTTACCGAGTACCAAACTTTAGATTAATTAAGTCCTAATTTAATTTGATAGAATTTGAAAAGCTAAGCTGTTCAGTTATTCATTAGATAACCGAGCAACTCGGCGTCTACTTCTCTGGTAGTTGTGCAGTTAATCACTTAAAAAGGTTGTTTCCATTCAAATGTCTTCCCTTTAGGGCCTAAAATTCTAAATAATTGCAACTTACATTTTGGTGTAGGTATATGGACTTACGATTAGACAATTATTAAGAAAAATGTCATTGAAATTTAGAATTCAAATAAAACAAAAAATATTTTTTCAAATAATACTATCGTTTATCTTCGAAGTCATAAGAGGATGTTTAAAGTATTTTGATTAAAAATGTAGTTGTAATAGTAGAATACAATCCTAAGTTTATATGTTTCATAAAATCAATTTCGTTGGTAATATACAAATCATACATATCTTACACCTTATAGATTACATATATATTAAATGCAAACATACATATATACCTGGTAGATGCTAGTGATTTGTAAATTAAGTGAAAAGTTTTGAGTATTTTTTGAAAACATTCCATTTAACAAATGTAATTCTGATATTGTACAAATATGATAAAGTTAAAGACTAGTTTTAATTATTTATCAATGATTAGTTAGTAATAAAAGTACTCAATTGCTAGAAAAGTTTTTTACACACTAACTGGCCAATCTTCTAAAAATTAGTTGTTCAAAAAGGTTAATGCCCTAATTTCACGTTAAAAAAAAGTAGAACAAAAATAATCGCTGAAATTACAAAAAAGTAAGTTGAATAACATCCATATTGACACCGATAAGGTAAGTGAATACCTTCATGTACCTAAATTTAATCATGCAATTCAAAACCGAAAGCAGTAAAATTAGTCAGGTCGCACAGTAGTTATATTAGCTATAGAAAACTGGAACTAATAGGGTGATTTGATGCAATCTGTAAAAATAATCTATAATTATAGTACTCCGTATTTATCAGTTCCTTCGATCAATTATTTATCTAGAATTTTAACAAATAACTTTCACTGTAAATAGCCATATTCGCTTTTTTCTTTTTTTTCCGACCCCTCCCCTTTCTCTAAACGACGTTTTAGCATTCCTTACTTGCACACGACCGATCAGCAAAATTTGGTCCTGTAGTTGATCCGTTAATGGTATAATGAAATGGATCTTGGTGTGCCATGCAGGGCTCCGCTCCCAGACTTTTGTTATTAATTTATGTTAATTAATTTTTTATTAACCGAAGAATGCTTTTGTTTAATTGTTTAGGATCATAAGGTTACGGTAGGAAAAGACAACACGAAAGAATTGAATTGTTTATTGATGGTCATGCCCTCTATTATTCTGATTAAAAAATTGTGTTTATTTATTTTGTATTAATTTCGGAACAAAGATTTTTAAACAGGGCAACCATCTGATTATTATTTATGTAATTAAGTAAATGATTTTACATTTCGTGGTATAAGGTGAAAGGTACCTATGTAAATAAGCAATGCTTAAACATAAATTCAAGAAAGGAGTCTTTTTGCCCAACTTATCAATTTCATGTCTCAGTGTTTGCTCTATATGTTATATAATATAAATTACCTCATAGCGTGATAGATGGAACTTTTTGAAGTTTGACCAACTTGATAGAGGATCCTAAAAATAAATCGAAAAACTCGTTTTAAAGTTTGTTGCCTTTCCGTGTAAACAAAATAAAATTTACTTACAACTCGAGCTTTCATGTTTATTAGGCTACCTTATTTGATGTTAGGTATAATAATTTTGAAGTATAATATTTGTTTTTTAGGACATTCAAAAAACAAGTAAAATAACATATGAAACTAAGCAACAAATTTCATTTTCTCTCATCTTTCAATAAAAATATTTAAACTAATGAAGGAATTCATAAAAACTGTCTCACAGTCAGTGAACTTGGCTCAGCTGCTCAGCATACAATTTGTGAATTTTATCTCATAATAAAAAATACTTCTTTTTGTTAACAATTAATAATGCTTCGTGATGAAGTTGCTTCTGAAGAAATACGGAATGTATTCAAAGGGAAGCGTTAATATATTAGATAATGTTTTATTGGTTAAAGTATAGTCTAATAGCTTAAAAATTAAGAAACAATTTCCATGTTAATACAAAATTGTGTTACTTAATTTTCTTTCGCCCTAACGTGAAAAAGATTTTCAGAAAAAAGCATATATGTATATTTTCCTTTATTGTGTCAACGCCATCTAACACAGGCCTTGTGTATATTTTTAAAGGAATAAAGAAGCACTTGGAAGATTTTTACTGGAAGTGTTTCCTTGTTCGTATTTAAAAATGAATTTTCAACATGTGAAAGTCGAAATATTTCAATTTCTAAAGGACTTAAAAAAAATTATAAATTGAATTCATACGAAACATCACCATTTCATTGTTGTACTTTTTATAATATCAATGTTTGTTTGTTCCAGCACAACGCCAATTTTAAAAGCACTTGTACCTGCATTAATAAGTTGTTCCTTTAGCAATAATACGGTAGGTAGAGTGATGCAATTTGAAGTATAAATAATTCCAACGTAAAGCTTAAATTAGAATATTCTGTGAATATATAGTTTGTATAAGAGACATGCGTAGTCTCATATATTGATTTGTTCGTCTTCATGGATTCTGTGCTTTTATTTCATTCTCTTCGAGTTACATTATTAAGTTGATATGTATTCCTTCTAAAGTGTTTAAAAGTCTGAATATTCTGTAAAAATGAGTGAATTTCCGGACGGAGGTTCGCCGTCGTCTACAGTACTCTTAGAATCAGCCGATTCCCTATCATTTCGAGATAAAGCCCTTACAAAGAGATCTATTTCGAAACACCATAACAATAACTTTAAAGCTGGCTACGTCCCTGTTCATGAGCAATATTTGAAAAAAACAGGTTTGAGAGGTCGTAAAACTTTTGCCTTTTGGACTTTAGTATTTTTACTGTGCGTTCTGGCGATGGGCAATTTTATACTCACTTTAAGTATACTGGGAGTCCTGAGACTAGGACAAGGAATGCAAAGTTTAGAACTGGTCCCTGACGAATCAACCGTTAAATTTTTTGGAGACGCTGATTTAGATCAGTTATACAAAAGGGATGGTCGACTGGAAGGTTTCAAAGACAGTCCAATTGAAATAAGTGGCGACGGTGGACCTGTGATTTTAACGATTATACCAAAACTAAGAAGATCATTCAACAAATTGATTATGAACAACACGGGAACGTATTTCAAACACTTCAACAATTTTCGAGTTACACATGGTCTAAACAGCATTTTTTCTCTAACAGATCCCCAGTTTAATATAGTTTCGGATATGGGAAATCTTCAAACAAAAATTACCGAAACGAACAGGGTTGTAAGTCCAATAGATAGAAGCTTAAATATTGAAGGAAAGAAAATAGAATTGAAAGGGGCTGAAGGTATCGATGTAGAAGGAAAAGAAATCATTTGGACTGCTGATCAGAATGTCTACTTGAAGTCTGTGAATGGATCGGTCATAATGAGCAGTAACGAGGGACTTTTTGTGGACGTTAAAAAAATACCATTGGCTAATACAAAGCATAATGGGCATGTTACTGCTCAGTATAAACTATGTGTGTGTATGCCAGAAGGGAAATTATTTAGACTGCCAGTTCCAAACAATCCTAATATTAAAGTTTATTGTAATCAGATCAACTGGGCAGAAGGGCAAAATTTATGTATGTAAATAATAGACATAGAATATGTAAATGAAAAAAGAAAAGCATAGGTAAAAAATGTAATCAATTTTGAGAGAAATAATAACTATAAATTGGTTAATTAATCCAATCAAAGTTACTACTTTTTTATTTATAAATTAACAAATCCAATTTAATTTTGTATTTTTCAGAAAAGGTTTTAAATAGGTTAATGATTATCCTTAACGTTGATTAACTTTCACTACATAGCTGTGATGTTTGATATGCACATGCAATACCTTCATAATAAATTATTTAAACAATTTTAGGATAGATACATTTTAAATTTTTGAAATTGTATTTACTTAACTTATTTCATCCTGTATAGAAATACATACATAGATAATTTTTTGAACAGTCAAATGACAACTCATTTTACCGTAATTTGTAATTTAAAGTATGATAGATTTAGTGTAGAAGAAAGAAATTCTACTACTCACATAATAACAAAACGTGTAGAAAAGAAATACTATAGCAGCACTTTTGTAAGCTATAGATCTTACCATATTTAATGACTTACGACCGCTTTTGTTGAAAAATATTGCGTCTAAAAGTGTTCTTCTTGAGACTGTAATATTAGCAAAAATTTTTTTAACTATAAATTGTTTGTAAGTTTCCATTGCGATACGGTCGGCCGTGACTATTACCTATCGCACGTCTATGATTAGTGTCTGTGAAATTCTCAAGGTTATGTGCTCATAAAATGTTTATTTACATAAAAGATTGTATAAAACACCTTCCCTCTGACTGTTGTATTGTATTTCTTCAATAAATATACTAATGTAACTATAGGCACGGAGCGCATTCTTTCCCAGTTATAAAGTAAATACAGGCAGAAATGTGTGAGAGGGAGAAATAAGGTAAAGAATGAGGAAAAAACAGGTATTGACCACATGCTCGTTTCCTCTTTTTCTGGACAACCAATTAATAGTAACAGGTATTTGATGTTAACATTTGTAATTTACTATTTTGCAATTACAATTTCTATGATAATTGCTAACTTCAGATATGTCATATCTAAAAAATATAATTGAATATAACCATAAATTAATCTATGAATATTATGAATACTATCTATGATGAATACCTTATCTATGATAAATTTAACCTATTGGTTATGTTCGTCGGCTGAGCTATAAACAACAACACTATAATTAATATTTGCTGCAAATTTAGCATTTGTTATTTTAGAAATAATATTCAATATCGACCAAATCGAGTAATCTGGTCCCCTGCATTCTGTTTTGTTCAGTATAATGGCACGTGGCGGATTAAGAGGTCGTGGAGGTATAGGTCGCGGAATAGGACGAGGGCCATATAAACCGAAAATCTTCGTTCCTCGGCGTCCTTTTGATCTTGCATTATGTGAATCATCTTTTCCAAGAACTAAGCCTGCTCCAGATGAGTCAGCATTCACACAGGCGTTATTAAAAAGAAACACTGATCTTTCACCAACACCTGCAGAACAAACAGCCATCTTGAACCTTGTCACAAAAATACAAACAGTTTTGGACAATTTAGTTGTTGCTCCAGGAAACTTCGATGCTTGCGTACGTTTATAACTTTAATTCAAAGATGGTTTGATTACAATGTTTCTTACCTATAGCAGTTGGAAGAAGTTCGCCAAGTTGGTTTTTTAAAAAAGGGACAATGATGACTGGTCTTAATGTTGCAGATATTGTGGTTATTCTTAAAACTTTACCAACTAGAGAAGCTGTGGAAGCATTGGCCAATAAGGTTAAGGAAGATTTAGAAAATTTGATGAAAAATGAAATTGTTACTAAAGGAGAAGCATTAAACCATCAAACAAACGAACGCGGTTTTGAAATTAACAGNGAAACTATAGCTACAAGCTATCCAAGGATGGTACTATAGAATGTCACCTCAAGGTAGGCCTAGTGGCGTCATCTCTTGGTTAGGCCGGAAACTTATCAATCCACCCTCGTAAAATTCAACGCTAAGCGAAAAAAGTATGATCTTAATTATTGTTCTTTCATAGACTAGACACGTCTACTATTTACTAAAAAAGTTGCAGACTTCTATATGAATGAAGTTTCTATGTTGATTTTCGTTAAAAAATGATTTACAACAGAATTGATGTGGAACTGTAGTTTCCGACAATGTAAATATTAGCTTAGCACAAGGAATAGACCATTTATTTCAATTTAAAAAAAAAAAACGCAATATAAACTATCTAAACGTATAATTTGACTTTAATCTGAAAGTCAGAATAAATGTTATAAGGATTAAATATCGTAACAGATGTTATATATAAATAAAATGTATGTTATATTAAATACTATTGACTAAAAATAGTAATTTTTTTTTGTCTATTTCTACAGATTGGCTAGCAAATGAGAGAGATTAAGAAGTTAATTTTGACTGTGGATGTCTGCCTTGGTATCCTTATTGAATTTGGTTTGCTTTTCACACATGTTAACCACGGAACGTTACATTCTACAGACAATTCGGGTAAGTTATTAAGTTAATCAATTAATTATACGTTATAAATATATTGCCAATTTGGTTAACAAAAGACGCCCTGGTACGTAATGCATAGGTAATTGCAAACTTCAATTTATCCAAATTCTTTCTAATTGTTGCTCCAGGAAACTTCGATGCTTGCGTACGTTTATAACTTTAATTCAAAGATAGTTTGATTACAATGTTTCTTACCTATAGCAGTTGGAAGAAGTTCGCCAAGTTGGTTTTTTAAAAAAGGGACAATGATGACTGGTCTTAATGTTGCAGATATTGTGGTTATTCTTAAAACTTTACCAACTAGAGAAGCTGTGGAAGCATTGGCCAATAAGGNACGAGTGTTTAATTCTTTTTTTTTATCCATTTTCCGCATATATTTTGACCTTTATTTGAGAGAAAGGTAGAAAAGAAAAGGATTAAATATTTAAGTTTTCTGCGTTACAGATATGTACCAAATTAATTAGTTAATAATTGTTTTTGTCGGTTTACACAGATTGGCCAACAATTGAGAGAGATTGGAACTGACATCTTTGCTTACTGAAAAGATAAGTCGTCTCCTATGGCGTTGTAGCTGTTAACCTTTCATCATGGAGGCTCTTGTAGTTAATTAAGGTGAGCATGTATACTATACTTTCTGTATGTTGTGTATTTATTTGATATTAACAAAGAAAAAGATTCAGCATTACTTTAACAATGTATCGTGCACATTACTTACTTAATACTTAATTAGTTATATCTGAACACTTTTTCATAAGATTTCATTTAACAGGAACATTAGAAGAACTCCGGATACCTTTAAATTATGAAATTATGGAGCATTGGTTGAATTAGTTCTCATTTGCCCTTCAAAGTAGCTGTGCCCATGGTTCTAAAGAAAGCATGAAAGTGCCTTTTTTTCGTTGGGAACGAAGACAGTGTGCTGAAAAAGGATTTATGTCAATGAAGTGGTATGTAACAGTATCAGTTAAAAATAGTAAATGATATCTTTAGATAACTTCAATTTTTTAGACATTTGTAATTTGCTTCGATAGATAACTTTTAAACAACGTTTCAGAAATGGCAGAAGCAGAATTAATGTGGAACAGATCTTTCCATTAGTGTGCATGTTACTGATTTATTCGATTTAAAAATGGTAATTAATTACGTTTTCTTGCCTGTTTCTATATAGATTGTTGTCCCACAAATGAGAAAGAATTGCAGTTAATTTTGATGCTACTAAAACAACTGATGCTTTTGACGTCTTCACCTTGCAACATTATGCAGTTAATTTTTGCCGTAACAATGGGAGGCAATTGGAAATCAATTAATTTGGATGCAACCGGAACAACAAATTATCTGCAGTAGAATCCCTCCCAGATTTGGTTGATTTCATCATCACACTGGTAGACTTTAGAACGCCACTTTCTACAATTAATTAAGGTGAGAATACATAACTTGATCAATATTACTTACTCTTTATTAATCTGATATGAAATTTCTGTCGCAACAAGCTATTGTCAACAGTATAAATTGAGGTTATTGTGCATCAATATCACTTGACAGTTTTTATTTTCCACAGAATAAATTGATATTAATCGTTGATATATCTATGGAATTTATCTATCGATGGTGTTTATCTATCTATGGATTTTCTTTTTAACCTTTTGCTGTTGTCTATGTCGTAAATTGACGTCGTGTTATTTGACGTTAATCTATGTCGTGATCTATGGTTGTGATGTAAAATGGCCTAAAGTTGTTTGTTTATTTTTTAATTCAACTATTTTACTTGATTTTTGGTGCCTTTTTATTTGTGTTTCTTAATTATAAGTGTAATTAATATGTTTTTTTGTCCATTTCTGCAGGTTATACAATAAATGAGGGAGAATTAATGTTCAGTTTGGTTATACTGAAACAGCCCATGTCTACATGGGTGTGGTCTTTCCTGGATTATATTCTTGATTTGCTGTTTCGTCTTCGACTTGTAACATCATGCAGTTAATTTTCGACCCATGAGCGAGTGCAACTGGGTATTTATTTGAATTCCACTGAAATAAGAAATTCTCTGCTACAGTATTCCTCCTTGAGTTGGTTTACTTTTCACACCTGTAAACTTTGGAGTGTTACGTTCTATAATTAATTAAGGTGAGGATACTTGATATAATTAATTTTAATTGCTCTTTATTGATCTGTTTGCCACCGTATCTGTTTCAGATCGACGTTGGAGAAGACAAAGATGACCCAG